GAATCACCGTCACTGTGAAATTATTAGTGACATAATCGAAAACCATTGAGAGCACCACACATTAGGGACACGGATCATTTCCAAACTATTCTAAAATGTAGATAAAATATTTCCCCAACTGAATACTTGGTGTCGAATATGCAGGCATTGTTTGCACCATAGCTAGCGCTTTTCTCTCGCATCCTGGACCATCCATGAGTGGCAGAGCCCTGATGTTTGTTTTATTTGCAGATATTCAGATCTCCCCCATCCCTTGAATGTCAATGCCATCTTGTATCTCCACACTCATCCTCTTATATTAATTTTTTTTTCCTTTTTTCCTCCCTTTTTTTGTTTGTTTCCAGTTGTCTAATGGGTTTTCTCACTATAGTTTATCAAGTGAGCCCCACGTGGGGCCCGTAGGGGCGAGCCTTTTCCCTCATTGCCTGCCCGCCTCCCGCCTGCTCCCTCGGGCCACCTCTGTCCACCTTCCAGACTACGCTCATTATTACACCATTGGGCCCGGCATGTTCCCGTCATCTCAGATCCCTAGCTGGAAGGTTTGTGTCTCTCTGCCCTCCTCTCGCCCTCTCCCCCGTCCCTCATTGCCTCTGTGCTCACCCCCCTGCTGCCCCACGATTCTCACCCCCCCCCCCCCCCCCCCCTTCCCCTCCCCCCCTGCCTTCTTCCCCATAACACCTCCTCCCTAAGTAAATTCCCACTGGGGAGAACCGGAAAGCAGCAGGCAGCGCTGAGGCGGGTGTGTCCACACGGAGCTGAGATCGGAGGAGCTCCCTTTAGGAGACACCAGTTAACCCCTGTTAGACCCCAGTAGACCCAGATGCGGCATTGCAGGGAAGTCGCTCCCAAGTTGTAAGTCCAAGTTCTGCCCTCCTGGGGGTTTCCTGAGGGTGTCACTGTTACCAGGGAGGGACTCTCCTCCTCGGCCATGTTCCCCAGACTGTTCCCTTAAACCCTTACTGGGCCATGGTAACAGAACCATGCCCCAAAATACAGTTTGGCTTATTATGTTTTATCTTAAAAGTACCTGCAGACTTTATTTTTAGTCTTAAAACATGTTTGCTTTAATATAAAAACGAAAAGTTTTTATATTATTTCCTAGCAAGTCTGATTGATGCCAGGAGGATGTTCTACCTTTATTTGGAGAGGAGGTCCCTAACTTGAATAGTAGGCCCCTAGGCGGCCCGCCATCTCGAGCAGGCCTTGACTGCCTCCCTCACAAGTGGTGCGGACCCCTCAGAATCTTTCTTCTGGCCCAGGGGCCTTCCCTTCCTCTGTGAGGACCTCAGAGAGTACATCCTGAAGCGCCCTTTGGGGCAGTTTCCCAGAAGTGAGGTTCAGCCTCAGGGAGAGTGGCTGAAGTACCTTTAGCGCCCCCTGGTGGCCACTCCAGGCGAGTGAGGTCATTTGAGCTGCTAGGCCCCAGCGGGAGGCCCCAGACATGGGAAGGGAGGGCCTGGTCCCTGGGGATGTGCTCTCCACTGGCCGGTGCCTTCAGACACCATAGGCAGTTGGTCAGTTGTTTGATGGCTGTAACTAAGAGTGTCCCTCAGGCTACCTGCCCCCTTGTTGCGGGTTTTCAGTCTTTGGGCGGATGTGAGGAAAGGGCAGGTACCCAAGGGACCCCCAGAGGATTTTCTGCTCCCTTCTTCTAGTGCCGGGTGAGGGCAGAGGAGGGGCTGCTGGCCTGTCCCAGCCTGAGCTTCCCCCGAGGGGACCAGCTACCTTCTGTGGGCGGGCAGCTGTCTGGAGGCTTCTGTGGCCTCCCGGTGGAGGCAGAGGCCCTGGCACCTGACCACACTTGTTCCACTTAGGACTGGGCCAAGCCAGGACCTTATGATCAGCCTCTGGTGAACACCCTTCAGCGCCGCAAAGACAAGCGAGAGCCAGATCCCAGCGGTGGAGGCCCCGTCGCAGCGGGAGGCACACCCACCGCTGCCGAGGAGGCTCAGAGGCCGCGGAGCATGACCGTGTCGGCCGCCGCCAGGGTGACGCTCTTGTTCTCTACAGCTGGCTGGGCCCCTCGAGACCTGGCGGGGGCCACGTGCTGGCCAGCAACTGGAGGAATCTGAGCCCCTTTCCCCTACTCCCTGTTACAGCGTTTAGAAGACCCCCAGGGAAGGTCTTGTATGGGAATTAGACTCTAGAACTTTCTAGAGCCTGGGTAGGGTCCAAGCAAGTTGGCGGCCCCCTGGGCCCACAGACAGTGGTGGTCACGGGAGCAGAATAGGAGTCCTGTTGAGGCCCCCACTGGACGAGGAGTGCAGAAAGGCTCTGGGGGTATCAGACAGGGAACTCGCGGCCCCGGTGGCTCATCTGTCTCTCTCCTCCCACCTGCAGCCTGGAGAGGAGATGGAGGCTTGTGAGGAACTGGCCCTGGCCCTGTCTCGGGGCCTCCAGCTTGACACCCAGAGGAGCAGCCGGGACTCGCTTCAGTGCTCCAGCGGCTACAGCACCCAGACCACCACCCCCTGCTGCTCTGAGGACACCATCCCCTCCCAAGGTAGGAGAGCCTGAGCTTTCCAGCCGGGCTTCCTGAGCAGTGCCAGGTGAGGAAGGGGGCCCTCCCCGCTGGGAGGAGGCAGACGTGCGAGAGTCCGTCCAGCCACAGTAGAGCATCTTGGAATGCTCTGGAGGGCTCGTCTGTAGTTGTCGGGTCACTGCCATGCAGCAAAGTGGCCAGATTTCACAACTTGGTTTCTCACCATCAGGGTTACAGGGATGTCCCAATTTGAAGGCAGACAGATGCTGTTAATGATAACATCATTTGTATTTGGCACTTTGTACCAAGCACTTCCTTTATTTTCCCATTAGTTCTTCACAATCGTTTATGTCACAAGTCTGTTTATCCCCATTTTACATACATGGAGACTGAGGCCCAAGTTCACACAATAAGCAGCAGAGCTGGAGTTTGAGTCGAAGGTCTGTCAGAGTCTGAAGCCCAAACTCCAGCCAAATTCTCTATGAACTTGCCTCCCTCACCGCCCTCCCCAGCACACACACACACACACACGCCAGCAAGATGGCAGGCCAGCCGCTAGGAAAGATCTATGAGAGCTGACCAAGCCTGTCAGCAGTCCTTCAGTCCAAGTCTCTAGGACAGTGGGTCTCGGTGGAGGGCCACTTTGCTGCCCAGGGGACATTTGGCAATGGCTAGAGACATTTTTAATGGTCACAACTGGAGGGCGTGCTGCTGGCATCTGGTAGATGGCCAGGGATGCTGCTGACCACCCCCTCATACAGCACACAGCTTCACCCCACCACACAGAACTTACCCGAACGTCAGAGCGCTGCTCTTCAGAAACGAGCTCTATGATGTTCAGTCTGTATGCTTCCCCCTCCCACGTGACCCCATTTTTGGAGAGAAAGTGAGCACCCCTCACCGATGGAACCTGTCTCTGCCTTGTTTTCGGAGACTCGTTACCAGTAGCTCCATTGCTTTTCTAGCCCTCGCCTAACGAGTTGATCATGAGGGAGGTAGTGAGGTCTGTGATGGTCCGTGTGGGGCTTGTCTCAAGTCAAATTCCGGGCTGGAGGGCTTGTAGAGGTTATTCCTCTTGCCACCCCCTTTATTCCTCCCAGAGGTCTCCGAGGTAGCCTCGCTGCGGCCTGGCGGTTTTGCACTCTTCACCGCTCAGCGGTGTTTGAGTGCGGGCCTGCTGTGTCCAGCGCTGCTCTTGGTGCTGAGCGTTCCCTTGGTGAACGAAACGACGGTCCCTGTCAGGGAGTTCTTAGATGGTGAGGGCTGCTAAGCCTGGCCCGGAAACCCCGGAAGGCTTGGGATGAGATTGCGGGTGAAGTACCTGGCCTCTGGGGCCCTTTGTCCGCCCAACACAAAAGAATCAAAGAGCACAGCCACTGCCTCGGCGATTTCTAATCGGATCCTATGATCAGTTTCAGATTACGATTATTTCTCTGTAAGTGGTGACCAGGAGGCAGATCAGCAGGAGTTCGACAAATCCTCCACCATTCCGAGAAACAGCGACATCAGCCAGTCCTACCGACGGATGTTCCAAGCGAAGCGCCCAGCCTCAACTGCTGGCCTCCCCACCACCCTCGGACCTGCTATGGTCACCCCAGGGGTTGCAACCATCCGACGGACCCCTTCTACCAAGCCTTCTGTCCGCCGGGGGACCATAGGAGCTGGTCCCATCCCCATCAAAACACCTGTGATCCCTGTCAAGACCCCTACCGTCCCAGACCTCCCTGGGGTGTTGTCAGCCCCTCCAGATGGGCCCGAGGAGCGGGGTGAGCACAGCCCCGAGTCGCCGTCCGTGGGTGAGGGCCCCCAGGGTGGCACCAGCATGCCCTCCTCAATGTGGAGCGGCCAAGCCTCCGTCAACCCTCCTCTTCCAGGCCCGAAGCCGAGCATCCCCGAGGAGCACAGACAAGCAATTCCAGAAAGCGAGGCCGAAGACCAGGAAAGGGATCCCCCAAGTGCCACTGCCTCCCCAGGCCAGATTCCAGAGAGTGACCCTGCAGACCTGAGCCCAAGGGATGCCCCGCAAGGAGAAGACATGCTGAACGCCATCCGCAGGGGCGTGAAACTGAAGAAGACCACGACAAACGACCGCTCAGCCCCGCGCTTCACTTAGGCTCTCTTAGGCTCACAAGAAATGCTGCCAGTGGGGAACGAACTGTCTAATTAATAGACCTAGTTTGTCTTGATCCATTCCAATCTGTAATCAAACAAAAGATTTTGTAGGCAACTCAGAACACAGCTCTTTTGAAAGTACTCGACACCTTTAGATAAGAATTAAAAGCAACATATGTAACTGACATAACCTTGATCTTTTAATTTGTAAATATTGAGTTTTCTTTCTGCACATTTTAATCTTAAGTTTCCCTTTTGATTTTTCTGAAGGTGCCAAATTCCATTTTTTACAAGTCTTTGTAAAATTTTAAATGCATAATAAGGGGGGGAGGTCGGGCAGGGGAACCACGAACTAGTAATGTCAGAAAAAAGGATAACTATACTTAGCTTTTTTTCTTTTCTTTTCTTTCCTGCAAGCTTTTGTAGATGCATTGTAGTAGTCTGGCTTAGACACAAATTCAAGTTAGTGTAATGTACAAACAAAATGGGTAAGGGGTAAAAATCCTTATTCAAGTATACTACATTCGGAATGAGGAAAGCGGGAGTCAGCTGATGCGCAACATTAGGAGTGAGGGAACTCTGGAAATGGTAGAGGCTGTGTTGGGACTGGGGGGAGGGTCGCGGGAGGGGCACACTGTCAACACAGCCGATCCTGTTACATTTAACAGTAGCCTCGTAGGTTGAATTTCTAGTAGCTTCATGGTAAATGCATCCGAATAAGCCACACTGGGTTGCAGTGTTTGTTTCTGCAGGGTGTTTAAGGACTTCCTTTCTCCCACGATCGCTCCTGACTGCACACAGCACCCACCTCCAGTCCCGTGCATGCTGCCGCCACCGGGTAGACATAGAACCCCCCACTTCAGTTACCTGTCTGTTAGTTATACCCACTTTCACTGAATCCAAACACATCCAGAAGGGTAAGGCAGTTTTAAAAATGTGAAAACATTTAAAAATGATTGATAGCAGGGAATTCTTAGATATAGCAAATGCCTTTTACTTAACTGTGCCTAGCAGGCTGGGCGCGTTGAAAAGCCCAAATATTTTGGAAAAACTGGAGCGGATTTAACAAGGGTAACCAGCTTGGAGTCTGGCAACTTGCCAATGTGTTTACCAGTCTGGAGGCTTGTTTTTCTTATCTTCTTTTAAATAATGGCAGTTAATTGGCTTCACACTAAACATCGGAGAGAGGAGGATTTATTTCTGTCACTGGGAATCTGACCACCGTACTGTCCCTTTTTTTTTTGTATTCTAGGCAGTGTTTTTTGGAATGGATTTCTGTCTTTTCTAAGTGAAAGTTAAATTTGTTACAATGCCCATCCCCTAAAGCCAGCAGAGATGTGTAGATTTAAAGGGACCACGTTTGAGGAATGCAATGGTGTTTAAAAAAGCCAGCCCCTTCGGGTCAGTTGAAAGTACTCGTTTGGGACCGAACCTCTCAAGGAATAGGAGCCGGGTGGGTCCTGCAGATCTCTGTTGGCTCCAATCTTCAATTACATAATCTTCTGCTTTAATACATAACTGCACTGGATGTGAAAGAAACGTACCTGTATAGTCAGTGTTCTCTATATTAACATTTAACACTGCTGTGATTGCTCAAAAACATTTTATGTTACGGCTTTCAAGCAAAGGCATGATTATTAGAAATTGTTTAAGCTTTTTTTCTTTGAAAAACAAGCTCCACTTACAGAATATAAGCAACAGTAGTGCCTGTGGTTTAGCCCACCAATCTTGATGACTAAAAGTAGCTGATGCATTGTGCATATGATGCTTGAGATGGTTTTTGCAAAAGCAGAAATCACTGCAAGGTAATTACGATAGATAAAAGTGGTATTTTAAACCTTTCAAATAAATGGATGTAACTGTACCTTGGTACAGCTTTTCACTTGTTTAGTTTTTAAACGTTAGTATAATCTGAATAAATTTAATATAAAATGTTGCCAAATTCAATGTAGAAAGAATGTGACAAAACGCCTTGGGTAGTTCTGTTTGTGTTTTTGCATATTGTAAAAGCAGTGTCACAGCTAAAAATAAAGAAATCATTTCTAAAGGTAAATTATTGTGGTTTAGTTGCTAGTTTGTACTGAGAGTTGACCTCTCCCTGTGCAGTTTTTTGTTCTAAACTTGTATAAATAACAATTGTGTAACGTGTCTCCCTTTTACCTTGTATCAGTTGCTTCAGCCTACATTATAAATAAAGAACCACTAGAAAAAAAAAAGCCCTGCATTTCAAGTCTTATTAAAATTCAGGTGGAGGTCTTAGTGAAGTGTTAGAAAATGGACTGAGACTCAGATTGAGCTTAGTTAGAAAGATGACAACATCATTTTTGTGCATTTTAAGAACACTAGTTGCCTAAACAGTGAGTTACCAAGAACTAAAACTAGCTGGGCTTGGTTGAGCTTTAAAAATGGCTTTACCCTTAAAAAAAGAAACTTCAAACATTTAGAGTTCTGCTACCCTTACCTTTGTGTCTGCAGACAATCCAAGCTACGGTAGAGGGAGCAAAGCTGGAAAACTGCCTCCAAAATAAGTGTCACCAAAGTGTCATCTACATTGGATGCCATCAAACTCCACTCCTGAGAACCCCGTGAACTCCATGCTTATTTGCTGAATGCGTGCTTCTTAGAGTAGTCCTTTAATCAGAGCTAAAATTCCATTAGTGGAATCTAGAAAACAGAAAAGGTATCTTATGTCCTCAGTACTGGCGTGCCTTTTCTTGGCTTCTTATGCCCTCCAGTCACCATAGCTAGTTTAAGCCTTCAACTCAAGTTTGTTCAACTAAATCTTCAGAGTAAACCTTGTATCTGGTTCTGCTGCAGTTTTCCCTCGATTGCATGTGTTACCAATATGACTTAATGGGGAAGAACAGAATACATCTGACTACGTTTCAGGTACTTTTCTTTATATGCACAACTGCTAAGAAAACGACACTGGCCCAGTCACCTGGCATCATGTTACTCTTCAGAAGAACACGTCAGTCATAACCATATGGAGTTATTTTATTAGGGCAAGTGTATGTCCTGTAACTTATTTCACTTGCGAGCGTGACTGGTGAGGCATCTTCCTCTCTTTCTCTACATGGGCTGCTCCCGGGGCCTGGTCACAACATGCCACCACAGTGGGGGCAAATCACCTTCCTTTCGGGCTGGGGGCAAAGCTTCAGTTCTGGGACCACCAAGCGGGGTTTCCTCCTGCAGCTGCTTAACCTAGAAGGGGGGGTAAGGAAGGAACAATTAGAAAAGGAGTTGAACTGACTGTCCAATCTCTCTGCTACAGGGAAGTGTCGGCATTGTTTCTACTGTGTCACATGACACACCCTGATCCTCACTACTGAAAAGTGTTGTTTGTATATACCTGCATTATCTTTTTTTTTTTAATGTAGTGTCCTTGTCTCTTGTAACATTCTTTATTTTAAAGTCTATTTTATCTGATATGAGTATTGCTACTCCAGCTTTTGATTTCCATTTGCATGGAATATCTTTTCCCATCCCTTCACTTTCAGTCTGTATGTGTCCCTAGGTCTGAAGTGGATCTCTTGTAGACAGCATATATGTGGGTCTTGTTTTTGTATCCATTCAGCAAGCCTGTGTCTTTTGGTTGGAGCATTTAATCCATTCACATTTAAGGTAATTATCAATATGTATGTTCCTATGACCATTTTCTTAATTGTTTGGGGTTTGTTTTTGTAGATCCTTTTCTTCTCTTGTGTTTCCCACTTAACAGAAGTTCCTTTAGCATTTGTTGTAGAGCTGGTTTGGTGGTGCTGAATTCTCTTAGCTTTTGCTTGTCTGTAAAGCTTTTGATTTCTCCTTCGAATCTGAATGAGAGCCTTGCCGGGCAGAGTAATCTTGGTTGTAGGTGCTTCCCTTTCATCACTTTAAGTATATCATGCCACTCCCTTCTGGCTTGTAGAGTTTCTGCTGAGAAATCAGCTGTTAACCTTATGGGAGTTCCCTTGTATGTTATTTTTCGTTTTTCCCTTGCTGCTTTCAATAATTTTTCTTTGTCTTTAATTTTTGCCAATTTGATTACTATGTGTCTTGGCGTGTTTCTCCTTGGGTTTATCCTGTATGGGACTTGCTGTACTTCCTGGACTTGGGTGGCTATTTCCTTTTCCATGTATGGAAGTTTTCGACTATAATCTCTTCAAATATTTTCTCTGGTCCCTTCTCTCTCTCTTCTCCTTCTGGGACCCCTATAATGCGAATGTTGTTGCATTTAATGTTGTCCCAGAGGTCTCTTAGGCTGTCTTCATTTCTTTTCATTCTTTCTTTCTTTCTTCTGTTCCACAGCACTGAATCCCACCATTTTGTCTTCCAGGTCCCTTATCCGTTCTTCTGCCTCCATTATTCTGCTATTGATTCCTTCTAGTGTAGTTTTCATTTCAGTTATTGTATTGTTCATCTCTATTTGTTTGTTCTGTAATTCTTCTAGGTCATTGTTAAACACTTCTTGCATCTTCTCGATCTTTGCCTCCATTGTTTTTCCAAGGTCCTGGATCATCTTCACTATCATTATTCTGAATTCTTTTTCTGGAAGGTTGCCTATCTCCACTTCATTTAGTTGTTTTTCTGGGGTTTTATCTTGTTCCTTCATCTGGTACACAGCCCTCTGCCTTTTCATCTTGTCATCTTTCTGTAAATGTGGTTTTTGTTCCACAGGCTGCAGGATTGTAGTTCTTCTTGCTTCTACTCTCTGCCCTCCGGTGGATGAGGCTATCTTAAGAGGCTTGATGGGAGGGACTCTATAACTGCATTATCTTTATGCCCACATTTTAACTCGGACACAAAAGCTGTTCTTCTTAAATGTTTTCCCATTCTTAAAACAGCAATGCTGAGAACAAACCCTCCTACCCCACCTCTTACTCATTAAGCAAAACCCTGACAATTACCATTCCAATTCCCCCTTGTTATGGTTCCCCCACCTCTTCCCCCCAAAAATGTTTATTTTTGTGTCTCAGCTAAGAGGTCTCCAAAAGCACTATTAAGAAGCTTCAATTTGAATACATTAGGGATGTTAATTTAAAAGCCCCCCAAATAGCAATGAGGACAAGAAATAACATGAAATCATAGGTACAAGTGTGCTCAGTTCTGCCCCCACTGCCCAGCTACCCCTTTTCCAGCGATCTCCGAGACCATCACTGTCCTAATAGAGTAGGAGACCTAAGACACCCACTTTCCAGATCCATGATTTTTTGAAGCTTCCTCCAAAAAAACCAACTCTGGATTGTGGCTAATCTGAGCCTCAAGCACATGTGCTGTTTAATAATGTCAAAGAGACGGAACTGGTAAAGGAGGAATGTTTTGGGGAGAAGTGGTTATCACAGTGACCACCTGCAGGATGAATCTGCTGCTCTCCATGAATCAATATGCCTTGAGTTCCCAAATGCTGACATACTTCTTAGAAAACACTGCCCTCCTTGGTCACAAAATCATGAATTTAAGTAACCCACTATCCAACCAGTGTCCCCTTCCAGCTCATTTGCTTAAATGCCCCCTTGAAAATAGTTCTTGAAACTCACAGATGCTGCCAGTTCACAGGTCCTCACACCCAACTTGCCCTTCTTTCTGCAGCAGCCTCTCTGTCTACTTCCCTCCTTTATCCAGCTAGATTCCATCACAACAATCACTGCCTCTCAAATAAGTTCCTCGTCACTCTTGACAGTGGACAACCACACCGTCTACCTTCAAACCTGCAACCATACAGCTCAGTATTGCTAAAAAGAAAAAAAAATACTGGAACAAACTGGTGTCACAACATGTTAATTATTCCCAACTTCACATGGGCCTTCACCACCACATGGCAATCTTACTACTATTCTCCAGCAAGCTCATCCTCTGCCCACAATTATCACACCTTTTCCACATTCTCCAAACATGCTTTGCCCACTTCCTGGCTTTTCCTGACTTCACTTAAAAAAGAGAAGCCATCACATTGAAGTCTGTCATTTCCCCATCATCAAAACTTCTAACCCAAATGTATTTATACACATCTTTTGTCCAATTAGAATGGAGGAAGAATCCCTTCTCCTTCCAAAGGCCCCCACACATGCTTGGGATCCCACCCCTCTTCTCAAAAACTTTCCTCTCTTCAGCACTACCAATTTCTCCCTCACCCCAGATCTAATCAGCATATACGCATCATTTATCTTAAAAGAAAGTAATCCCCCAGCCTCCAGTTACTGCCCCATTTCTTCGTTCTCCTCAGGAAATCTTCTCAAGAGTCATCACTCCCTCCTGTTTACTCTTCCTCACCTTCTGATCAGTCTTCGTGTGACAGAAATGGCTCTAATCAAGGCCACTAATGCCCTTCCTGTAGCCAAAACCTTTGGATGTTATTTCTAGTACTCACTCTATTCCATCAAATCAAAGATGACTTGGCCCCAGCCATTCTTGTTTATTTTTTTTTGGCCATGTGGCACAGCATGTGGGATCTTAGTTCCCCCACCAGGGATCGAACCCATGTCCCATGCAGTGGAAGTGCAGAGTCTTAACCACTGGGCTGACAGGGAAATCCCCCGGCCATTCCTGAAACACTTTCTCTTGGATCTAAGGATCTCAAACATTTCTGTGGCTTTCCCTCCACTTCCTTTATGGGGGAGAGGGCACCCAGAAGAGACCCTCATTCTGTGGCTTTTAAAACAACTGATAACTCCCACATTTCTATTTTGAGCTCAAATCTCTCCTTTGAGTTGAGTTCCAGATTCGTACATCCAAAGTTACCCTCTGACACCTGCACCTGATGTCTCACAGGATTCTCAAATTTAACATTCGTAAATTTAACATTTAAAACTGAACACTTGATTGTCCCTTTGATATCTGTTTTTTCCCCTCTTCCTTATCTCAATAAACACCACAACCATCCTCCAGATGTTGAAGTTTAAAACCTGGAAATCATTCTTGATTCTTCCCTGTCCTTCACTACCCACCACCCCCACCCCCCATCCAATCCCTCTTCACATCCCTGCAGACAATATCCTGAATTTACTTCCTTCCATATCCACTGCATCCACCCTAGTGCTAGTTGCCATAATCCTTGGACTAATCTACTGCAATAACCCCAAACTGGTCTCGCCAATTCTCCACTTGCCCTCTCCAATATATTTTTCACACTACAGCAAGACTGACTTTTTTAAAATATAAATCAGACATCATGAGTGGAAAAATACCCAAGGTGCTGGTGGAGAAGGTTAAGGGACTGTAGGGCAGAGCAAGGTCAGGCAGAGGACTATGGAGGGGAAGGAGGGAAGAAGCAAAATCAGAGAACAGAAAAGCCAGAAGACCAGGGAACACATTTTAACCTATTTCTAAGATGGCTGTAAATGTTACATTTAACACACTTGAAAGAGAAAGTACATCTGAGAGGCAAGGGGCCAGAGTAACTGTCGGAGCTGGAATCTGGACCTCTGCACGTGGGGAACCAAACCTCAGCTCCTTCCAGGTGTTGACCATGTGGGCCAAACTACATGGTAAAACACAGGCAAGACTCACCTCTCGCTCCCAGCTTTCTCTCCGCAGTTTCTTCCACTGCTCTCTCTTGGCAAAGTAATCAGGATACATTGCCTTCTCGGAAGGATGCCAGTTATCTAAGCACCACTCGGGAACCTGTCAGGAGAGGAAATCACGGCGTCATTCCACAGGACACATTTACATGTCAAGGGTAGGGCCTGCTCAAGAGACAGAAGACAAAAATCAAGGTGCATTTTTATAACCATTCCAAGTATCAGACTGTTTCTGACACTAAGCAAAACAGCAGAGGACCGAGACAAAGGAGAATGCCTTAGAGTGAAACAGCCTAGGGATGAAAAACAGCAAGGTCAGTCCAAAGAGAACTGGCATCATTCCTCCCCTACCTGAGTTCTCTAAAGATCCAACGTGGCTGTATGTTATTTGGAAATATCATTTAGAATACTAAGCACCAATTGAAATTGGTTAACTTTAAGGTCCAAAAATGAGTTATTTACCAATTCCTTTAGCACTTTGCTTTGCCGGAAAGTTTACTGCAAGACCTTGGCACTGAATTGGGAAAGAAAAGTCGTGATGGCATCTGGGAGAGAGAAAACTGACACTAACTGTCAGGAAAGAAATGTCCTAGCTGCCCCTAAAAGGGCAAGTGGTTTCCAAGGCTGAGGTTCGGGATTTGAGACACCTGTGGTCCTCACCTACCTTGTAACACTCGTACCTCTCATAGGAGGTACCCCCAGGAGACTCAGGGAAGATGTATGGCTGAGGATGCTGACAGTGCCAGAACTCTTCCTCTGCCTCCCTCAGCAGCTGGGTGGCCTTCACCATGTCCTTTTCATCCTTATGTTCATCAAACCGAGCTCTCATCAAACAAGCAAAGTACCGGTACTTGTCCCTTAAACCAAAATGATTTTGGAGATTAGAAATGGTATCTACTCAATTAGGCAGTATTACTGTCTGACAAGAGGCAGTACTTCCACTAACACCTTTCAGGTGAGTAGCGTGACTTCCCAGCCCCTCCCTGGACCCTGTCAATGGAGCAGCCACATCATTACGACGGCTTCCCTGACAGACCCCAAACACCAGCAACAAAAAGCTACTGTATTACTGATAAATACAACCTAACCCCTTTCCCTTGTCTCCTCTATCGCCTCTGTAGGCTCATTCAACATTCATTCAATGACAACTTACTGCATTTCCTCCTACCTTGTGCTAGGCACTGTGCTAAACTCTGGAGACACAAAGATGTAGAAGGCACGTATTACTGATACATGGTGCAAAGAGTGTTGCTCAAATCAGACAGACCTGGGTTTCAATTCTGACTGACACTAGCTGCCTGACCTTAGGCAAGTTTCGGTCAGGTTCTAGAAGAAACCATGGGCAAAGATCATTTACGGGGCTTTAAAATTTTTTTTTATTTTTTATTGTAGTTGATTTACAATGTTGTGTTAGTTTCTGGTGTACAGCAAAGTGATTCCGTTATACATAGATATATATACTTTTTCATTATAGTTTATCATAAGATATTAAATAATTGTTCCCTGTGCTATACAGGACCCTGTTGTTTAGTTTATATACAGTAGTCTGTATCTGCTAATCCCAAACTCCTAATTAATCCCTCCCCCCAATTTCCCCTTTGGTAACCATAAATTTTTCTTTGTCTGTGAGTCTGTTTCTGTTTTGTAATTAAGTTCATTTGTACCTTATTTTAGATTCCACATATAAGTGATATTTATCTTTCCGTTTGACTTACTTCACTTAATATATAATCTCTAGGTCCATCCATGTTGCTGCAAGTGGCATTATTTCATTCTTTTTTATGGCTCAGTAGTAATGGGGCTTTGATAATCCAGGCCACAGATGACAAGGGCTTGAAGCAGGCAACAGTGATGGATGGTGACAAGAGAAAAACATTTAGACTACAAAGTTACAAGAGTAGGCTATGGAGTCAGATAGCTTAAGACTGTTTCAGCTCTGCAGTTCCTAGCTGTGTAACCTAGGGTAAATTATTTAAAGTCTTTAGGCCATGGGTTCCTCCTCCATAAAAGAGTTAATAACAGTATCTATATCTTAGGGTTGTCCTAAAGATTGGATAAGCTAAAACATATCAGCACGCTTCAGACAGTGCTTGGTACATCCTTGGTGCCCAACGTAAGCTACGAACATTATTACACTGGGGAGAGAATTTACAAAAATCAGTGTCCAACGGCATACAAGTATGTATGTTGTTGGCAGAGGGGTAAGTAGGGAGTACTTGAAAATAATGCTAAGACTTAAAGCTGAGTGACTGTATTACTAGTAATGCCATTGGCTGAGGCAGGGAATTTGGGAAGAGAATCAAAATGAGGTAGTGAAAAGAAAAATACGTTCAGTTTTAGAGAACTGTAGGTAATCTAGCAAACAGCTGGAAATACAGCTCTACAGACAAGTGAGCATAGGTGGTAACTCAAGTCCCAGCGTTAGATGAGGCTGCCCAAAGTATACACAGCAATGACCAAGGGCCTAGGATGGACCCACACAGAACAAATAGCACTATGAGGGCAAATGGAAGGAAAAAAATCAGGCAAGTACTGAGAAAAGATGTCAGTGAGATTTAAAGAAATGACGAGTCAGTGTTATCACAGTAACTACTTTTATCCTTTCCTCCAATATTAATATTCTCAGATGTAGTTCAACAATACCTGAATGCCTGATGGCTTGACTTCCTTCATCTTTATGAAAGATAATTCTGTATGTTATCTGTTTGTTTATATGTCCATCTTCCTCATTAATCCATAAATTGCTACAGCTGAGAAAGAAGCCTTATTAACTTTTGTCAACCACCACAGAACCTGAATTGCAAATTTTCAGATGAATAAAAGAATTAGGGAAGTAACTAACCCTACAGCCTTGAACCTGGCCATCTTCCTGCCTAGTAAAGAGAAGTAGATCAATGACTTTACAATAATCCCAAATATACAATCTGGGCTTCCAGGATCCTCTCCACAACTCTTCCAGATGCACTCAGTTTCCCATTGTTTAGAGGTTTTTCTCAGAAGCCCTTCTCCTGACACTAGGTTTTAGGATTCTGCTAAGGGCACGGAGGCCTGGCATTCATACATCTTGGGTTGTCACCCCACCATGCATTGCATCTAGATCACGAAAACCTGTATGTTTTAAGACTGTGTTCTAAGACTAGTCCCAGATGGACAGAGGGAGGAAAGAAGTAGAGAATTATGTGGGAGGTAAAGAATTCGGTGGGATGTGAAGCTAATGAAAAGGACTGAATGAAGCTAAAAAGAGAAAAGCTGATGGGAGGGGTGATGATGATGTTTTGGAGTTAAGACACCTGAGTTGTAATCCTGGCTCGGCCACTTACCAGCTGCTGGGCCTTGAGCAAGTCAGTCTCTTGCCTCTTATTTTAGCCTCTTATTTTCTCATCTATAAAATAAGGCTAAATAATCCCTAACACCCAGAGTTGTGAGAACTAAAGAAAATAACGCATTTATGATTACTGCCAGTACCAGGAACGAGAAAGTCACGAAGGAAGCTATTATTTAGTGAGCGCTGGAGGCATGACCATTTCCATGTTTGGCACTTCCTTTCTCTTAATCGTCACGCAACCCTCTGCGCTGGGTCCCGCGTCCGTTTTCCTGATTAGAAAACTGAGGCCCGGGCCAGATAAACAAGTGTTCAAAGTGTCCCAGATGTGGGCGACGAAACCTGCATTCGAACCCGGGTCTAGGGGAGGGCTCCACGGGGCAAGGGGCCGCCTTCCCACCCCGTCCCAGAAGTCCTTGAGCCGCTCGGTCCCCAGAGCCTCTCAGCCTCTGTGGCGGTCCCCGGGGTCACCTCCCCGCGCCCTGGGTCCCCCTCGCCCACCTGTGGATGCACCACGACTCCAGGTGGCGCAGCGCCCGCTTATAAAGCCGCAGCACCTTCTGCTGGTGGGTCAGGTAGGCAGCCGGCACCGACAGCGCCATGACTACCACTTCACCTTCAGCGGCCGCGGGGTATGCCGGGAAGCCGGACGCCGGCGGCGAGGGGGCGGGGCCTCCGGCGGGCGGGGCGACGGACGGCCGCTTCCGCTTCCGCCAGGGAGGAGCTGGGGCCGCAGTCATGAGTCGCTTCAAATTCGTAGGTAAGACTTTTCCCGGGTTTGGGGCCTTTCTTTCGGTTCCCGGGCCTCGCGCACCGCGGCCCCAGGGCCCAGGACGTGAGCTCTCCGGCTTTTTTTTTTTTGCGGTACGCGGGGCTCTCACTGTTGTGGCCTCTCCCGTTGCGGAGCACAGGCTCCGGACGTGGAGACTCAGCGGCCATGGCTCACGGGCCCAGCCGCTCCGCGGCATGTGGGATCTTCCCGGACCGGGGCACGAACCCTTGTCCCCTGCAAAGGCAGGCGGACTCTCAACCACTGCGCCACCAGGGAAGCCCGCTGTCCGGCTTTTTGAGGGTTGAAAGTGCACTCTGTGGAGGAGGGTGAGGGGAGGCCTCTGGGTGTCGGTAATGTTCTGGATCTCAGTATGGGTGCTGGCTTCACGGGTGTGCTGCTTTGTGAAAATTCACGAGCTGCGCAGTTACGGTTTATGCTTTTTCCAACATATGTGTTGTGTTCAATAAAAAAAAAAGGAAATAAAACTACTAAAAAGCAAACGAAAGGCCTGTCACTATGTTCTCCTCCATCCCACGTGCACCTCCCCGCGGTTTCCCGTTTCTTTGGCGGAGAGGAAGATGGCTTCGAGGGACTCGTTGACTCAGTAATTCATATCACAGTAACTGGGCGCCTCTGGTGGGCCAGGCACTGGCCTAGGAACACAGACACGGCCCCTGCTCTGCTGGCATCACCATCTGGTGGGGGAACTGGAGGACACACACAGTGGGAAGAGAAACAAGTTTTATACTTGCCAAGTATAGTAATCTATTTGGCATCGGTAGAACAAGAGATGGGAAATTAGACAGAAACTAAAGGAATAAGCATATTTAGTACCAGACTTAGGAAAGCCTGGGGGAGGTTGTAAGAGCTAGGATTGGAAGGGTGACTTGGAACTCGAATGTGTTGCTGAGTTTAATTTTCTGTGTATAGAGTAGAGCTTCACTGAAGGCTTTTGACAAGGAGCATTCATTAAGTAAATCATTGAATGCCAGTTACATATTGGGAGCCTTGAGCTATGGCATACAGCAGTGGGTGAAGCTGGGCATGATCCTTGTCTTTGTGAAGTTTCCAGCTACCTGAAGGTGGAAAACGACAGTGATCACGTCTCTGCTTTAGTAAGGTAGACAGCTGTTGTGTAGGTTTGGTGGGTCATAGGGACAGACAGGGAAGCATTTCAGAGCTTGAACAAGGGCACTGGAAAAGGGAGAGAGAAATGGAAGATAGGTACATATGCAGCATTTAGCAGCTGAGTGTTTATAGCAGGTAAGGAAGAGTGAACAGTCAGAGATGACTCGGTGTTGGGATAAATACCTACCTAAACATGAAATGGAAGCATGGGTAGTTTGGCAGTGGGTGGGAGATGTAACGAGATCCATTTGGATTAGGTTAAATTTGAGATTCTTACAGGACATCCAGGTGGAGACATTTACTGGGCAATTGGAAATGCCTGGCACTCAGGAGAGAGCTTAGGATTATAAACTTAGAACAGTTACTTTAGGCAGTATTTTTTACAGAGACATTGTACTAAGTATGTGGAATTATAAAGAATCTAGTGGTGCAGTTAGTTTTCAGACTGGAGAGGTATGTACAGTCAAAGCAAATGCAGGGGAGAATGTTTAAGTAGCACATTGTTAAAGTGCCACAAAAGAGGTTTTTAAAAATGCTGTGGGAGAGCCTGGGGTGGGGTTGGGGGATGGGAAGGTCATCAGAGGTTTAGACACTATCCAGGTGTGGTGTCTCTCAGCCTGTTTATTGCAATCTGTGATATAATTGATGGGGGAGATGGGGTAAGAGCCATGAAACACCTCACAAAAGACAATTATTTTTTTCTTTTAAAGGTTTGTGTTTGTATTGTAATAAAAAAACTAAATCCCTGCCTCAGGTTTTGTCTCCTTAAATCCATGCTCTGTGTAGCCTCCAGAGTGGTCTTTATAAAAACCAAGTCAGCTACATTTTCTTGTGCTTCAAATCTTTCAGTCACTGTCCTCAGGACAGTTGAAGTGCCTTAACATAGCATACAGAGCTTTCTGTGGTGTGGTCCTGCCCGCTTTTCCAGCCTCATCCTTTTTATGCTCTATAAACACTTGGAGGTGCTGTTTCTTGCCTATGATAAGGTTTTAGAGTGGCAGTTTGGGGTTGTA